TTACAGAATTGTACTCAAGAATGGCTCTGACACATCTCATTATGAAACACAAGATGTGATTTGGTGTGCTGCTGAGCTGTGATCAAACGCAGGAATTCATTCAAATTGCCAATTTTTCCAATGATAAACCTGGGATTCAACAGGGTTTTCAAGAACTGGTACTTTTTTTGGATGCAAGACTGGTGTAGAGGAGAAAAAGGTCAGACTTGTTAAATTCACACAAACACACACTTTCAGCCACTAGGGAGGAATTGAGTGAACATGCTGACCCTCACAGCCTTAAATGTATGTGCTTCCTCAGAGGGCAGCCGACAAGATTAATGACAGACATCAACATCAGCTCCCAGAAGGAAACAAAGGCGTTTTAGATTTACCTATGCGTGTGCATGGATCAATGGTGAGCTACAATACTATAGCTCACAATTCAACAATCCAGTTACGGCAGGTAATGGCGATTAAGTGCTCCTTTTATCAGTTCTCGGGCTACAACAAAGGTCCAAAATAGGATTAAGCGGAGACGTGGAATGCTACCACTGCTAATGCTACAGCCCTTTGAGAATCTGCTGGCAATGAGAAGAGCTATGATGCCGCAGGGCAGGATTACTGAACAAAGAGATGGAGAGATATGGAATGAGGTGTGGGAGCCCCCTCTCCACCTCTTTTATCTTGACATCCAAACCTCTTAAATGTTTCTCATACAATCAAATTCTGCTCGGTGAGGCAGCACCCCTCACTCGGTTTTCCATCCCATGTTCGTGACGTGTTGTTTGTTGCCGGATGAGTTAGTGCTGAGGGGCAACAGAAGATGTGGTTGGCTTGAGTGGTGGGAGCAGAGAGGAGGGACAATCATTCATCAAGGGAGGGAAGCGCAGTGCAATCCAGGCAGTAAGTGTAAGGTAGATAAATGGCAAATAACTTCAAGGAATGAGATGATTCATCACTTCCTAAAATTAAGATCATTAAAGGACTACTTGTGGAGATCCATCAGTGTCCCCTACTCCAGATGATCTTGTTTGTTACAGTATACTTTAAAGCTCTTTCTTATTTCCTTATATGAACACATAAAAAAATCATTGTAGGATGCAACTAACTTATTTCCTTGCAGTGGTTGAAAGTAACAAAGTACTGTACTTAAAGAGGACCTCTTACACATTTGCAGCTGAAAATGTTTATTCTGGGACTAGCTCTGCATGATTCAAAGTTCAAAAGACTACTTATTTATCTGATACTGGCTCTTTACGCAGCCCTTCAGTTCATCCTCTGCCTGAAACAGGCTGAGCTCCTAGGTCTTTAAGGTCCCTGTCTTTAAAAGCCAACTTTCTTCTGACTAACTTCCTAGAAGCTCCGACTTGTTCAGCCGCAACAAAACATAGTACCTTGAACGCCCTGTTGTGTACTCAAGTAGTGTTTCTGGGGGCCCATGTGGGTACCAGATATGCTTGGCCTGGCAGAGCTGCTCGGGGCCTCACTAAATACTGATTTTATGTATATTTTATGTAAAGTAGCCAACTGCTGCTAACTGTAGTGTTAGCTCAGTTAGCCGTGCAGCTAGCAGCTGTTAGCTTAGCTGACTCTGTCCAGACTGGGAGCTTGGAGAGCGTGTTGAGATTTACACTGCTAGCACGGATGTTTTGGACTGCTGGGAGGAGGAGGTTTTCAGAACCGGGGTCCGAGCTCCAAGCTCCCATTCCAAGCCGTCCAAGCAGATTGAGCTAGTTAGCAGCTAGGGATCCTTGGCTGCTAACTAGCTAACGGCAGCTACCCTCAGCTGTAACTTAGTTAGCAGTTACTTCAGTTAAAAAAGTGACCGGATTAGCAGAGACAGATCTCCAGAACAGTCAAATACTGAGACAGACTAAGCGGGTGGACCGATGCATACTTTGTGGGTGTGCTGTGCCTGGAGCAGATCATGACCAGATGACCTGTTAAATATGTCAGCTCAGAACAAAAGTAGAAAAAGAAACGTTGAAAATCTAGTATTCACAACAGTCTGAAACCTGAGCTTTTTGCTCACAGGAATTACTTTTACATACGTTTAGCTCATGATTTGAAACTTGGCCACATTTCTTAGGACCATCCGACACTGTAACATTTTATAAACAGGGCTCGCATTCACGGGACACATGCATTTCAGCCAGTTCACATGCTCACATGCCACGCCCTGTATTTCTCACACTGAGAAGTTGTCCCTGTTGGGGAGTACAGCCAAATTCATGCTAAATGATTACTGATGCAGTCAAAAACTGTCCAACCTCTTTGCAACCAGAAGCTTTGGGTTTTTTTAGCCAGTACAACAAAGTAACTTAGGCCTATTTAGATCATTTAAAAAAATGTACTAATACCTCATTGTAAAAATACTCTGCAAGTACTGACTTGAAAAAGTTAAGTAAAAGTATGTAATTAGTATAATCAGGAAAATGTAGAAGTAGCCAATTAAAAATAAAAGTAGCCTACTCAAAGCAGAAAAAAAATGTCCCATATGACTGTAACTATTATAGCCTATATTATATCATTAGATTATCATTTGAGATCTGGTAGAGTATAAGTAGAAAATACTCAAGTTCAGTACAATACCTCGTGTAGGCCTACTTAAGTACAGTACTACTTTGTTACTGTCCACCACTGCTTTGGCTACCTGAGACTAAGGAAAGGACTAGAGATGTTTTTCTATATTTTGGCTCTGGACAGAAGGCTATCATCCATCATGATGGTGTAAATGGCTGACATTTTGATGCCGTACAACACAAAACACCATTCAAAAGCTGAAATGTATAGCCAACTCACACACACAGCTTGGCATAACACGCGTAGGGCAAGTTTTGCCGTCGTGTACAATACATATTGAGCACTGCTGTTCAGTGGGCTCGTTTGGGGCCAAATTTCTTATACATTTGTATTTTTGAAATATAAGTATATATATTTAAATAGTCATTATTATTATTATTCTTCCTTGTGAAAACCTGCGATTTGGGCTGTTTTATGCTAGTAGCAGATAATGTAGCCTCGAGCGGCTGGCCTCAAGCGGAGATGAGGAGCGGGCTACAGAGATCTGCTAACCTCACTTCTTTCTAACGCCACACTCCAAAATCGTTGAAATTTGACTTATCACTTTTTACGTATTCAGTAGTACTCCAAGACTTTTAATCTGACTTCATCTGATCTAAAATTGGCACACTTCCCCTTTTGAAGTGTGGTTTTACATGCAGGACTTAAATCGTAATAGTGTATTTTTACATTGTGGTATTTTACCGGTTATGGTACTATGGATCTTAAATACTTGTCTCAACACTGTTTTCTCAATTTATTTATGAATTGTTTAATATATGTTCTGTCAATTGACCAATCATTTAAATCATATAATTTGTTGTAGCATTGTGTCCAGAACCAGAAACATGTTTCTAAACAAATATTCTGCTCCGACAGAAACATTCGAAACAGGACTACTATCCTCGCTGACCAGTGGAGCAGAGCTGCTGCTTACACAACACATGAGTGGAGCCTGGGAACAAACTGGCGAATAGAGTAACCTTGCCAACCAAAGTGGAAACTCCCCCACGCGTCCATTCATGTAAGGATGTACAGCCCTCACTGCTTCTTCACAATGCCATTTTTACTGTGAGTGCACACTGAGCTCTGAGGCCCGGCCAGAGACGAGCTATCACTAGGCAACAGGCAGGAGGGAATCCGCAGCACAGCCCCTGTTACTGCTGCTACAGTGAGCTGTATGGATTCATGACAGATAACGGTCCGGATATAATTGACACTGATGGAAAAAGACCAGAGGGTCACATTCAAATTTGTCACCTTTGTGGTGCTTTCGACACTGACGGCAGCATAAAAGCAACATGTTCTTCTGTTCTGGCATCAGTGAGGCTAAAATCGCATTAAATTATCTGAAGAGGTTCAAAAACAAGAATTAAATTAACTAAATTGAAAAAGTGCTCCGTTTTCAGGGGGCAGATTAATCTCATTCATTAAACTTAAATTTATTGAATAGCACTGGGATTTAAAATAATATTCCCAAATCTTTTGTCTGCTTCTTCAGGCTACCTTTTTTTGTCTTGTGTGCATTTAAGAAGTTAATAGCTATGAAACAACATCGCAACAAAACTAGAAAGCAATTACAGAACCCATAACTCTAACCAGGCTGTACACTGTTCTAAATGTGTAACTGAAGAACTTAAAATGTAAATGGGACGAAATCAAGGGCTGCAAATATTTTCATAATAAATTGTATTGTCTATAAAATGTCATAAAATTGTAAATATGACCAATTACTAGTTCCCAGAGCCCAAGAACTAGTTCCCAGAGCCCAAGAACACGTCTGGTAATGAATTGTTTTGACCAATGCCCATACATACGTTTTGAAAAGAAGCCTTTAGAAGCTGGTATAAGAAACTGTTTGAATGTTGGTATTTTTTCTTGAAAATATCAACAGTTTCAACCAGCAAGCCGAAACACATCAGCATTAGGGTTGCAAGTAACAATTTCTTTCAATCTAATCTGTTCTTTGTATTTCAATAAATCGTTTAGTTAATCAATGTCAGAAAATAGTGGAAAATGCCTTGAACATTGGCTCATTTCCTCTGATCAATAGTCCAAAATTCAGAGCGATTACATTTACAAAGATTTAAAAGCTAGAACAGGAGGATATCTGGCATATTTGCTTGATAAATGGGCTGAAATGATTTATCAAAGTTGTTGCTGTTGATCAACTCATTGATTAACTGACCAGTCATATCAGCATTAGGGCTAGTTTTTAGATGTGCAAGTGACCTCTCCTCTTATTATGAAGTTGGGTTTGTAGGACTGTAAAAGAGCATTTTTCAGCTTTAGATTACAACAGAACCCATTTGATCAGTCGCCTAATTGATTAACTGTTTCAGCTGTAGTCAGAATAACACTAAATGGCAAACAGGGGCCATATAGTGTTGAGATCCTTATCTGTTTTTGGAACAAAACCTGCACTGTGATTAATGTTATAAGTATTCCCTCGTGGGTGTAATTAACCAAATAATTTGCTTTATTGAACATATAAGATGCCTTCACAAAGGTAACAAAAACAGACAACTGATATGCTTGAAATGAAAAAAGAAAAACCCACATTTTTATTGCACTTAAGTTATAAGAAAATAAAATTCTAAGTGAATCAAACAAATACACAATCCCTTTAAAGGTTTTTTTCTGTCTGTTTTCTTTTTTGCCAGGCAGTTTACATAAACTGAAAAAATAAAACACCTGCAACAAATCTGATTTCTCAAACCAGATCATAAATTAAAACAGAGGGAGAAAACAACGAGAGGAGATAGAGCAAGATTGTTTTCTTTTTTTCTTTTTTAATATACAGTGTTATACCACTTTCACAGTTCAGCTTGAGTTGTGACTCTTGGAGTTTGAGACGATTTTTGTTTGGCTACAATGTTTCCGTTCATGTTTGTTGCCTTTGTGTTTTTATTTTCCCCCCGCTGATAATCCACGAGGCTGCGGCTGCCCCGCTGATTTCAAATGCAACACATGTAACACTAAGACTCCTTGCAGCTCGACCTGTCAGTTGATGCTTGTGATGGTCTCCTCTGTCGCTTCAGACATCTTTGAATGGAACAACAATCACACACGGATACGGACAGTTCTTTCATTCACGTGTTAAAACCGATACATCTGCTAGGTTTTTTTTCTTTGCCAGTCCACACAGCGTTTGTACATTTCCCCAAAGAACAGGCTGAAAGAGCTTTGTCCCAAGGAATGTGTTTACAAGTTGCCCATTAACACGCACTCATGCACGCACGCACACACGCCAACAGTGTACATCCCCGTGTTTCCTCTCTGCAGGCGATCCCGTCAGTATCTGTCGGACACGCTCCTTCCTCTCAGCCTCGTAGAGGCACGTTTGGCTCAAGTTTCAGTGGCAAAAACAAAACAAAAAAACAAATGTCGGATGTTACTTTTTGTCATCTTTTGTCCAAAACGCGTACAGTTCAATTTGGAATTTTGCCTGGGACTAAAACGTCGCAGCAAGTAAAAGTTCCCTCTCTTTTTCTTTTCCATTCGTCTAGCAGCATAAATACAGTTTGGCCACTGGGGGGAAAGGGCTGGGGGGTTCAAGGGCATTAATCCACAGCGCTTAGAGCAAAGAACCTTTACTTCCTCTCGTCACAGCACCGGCATTGAGGAAACCACCCCCAGCTAGACTCTTAAAAACTTCTGGACAGCATTGATGTCTATGTGGAGACGGAGCTCCAAACCAAGGTATGTAGAAAACGGAAAGGAAGAACAAACAACTCAAATAAAGATGAACAAACCCTTGTGACATTATGACAGCAAACCTAAACAGTGCAGCTTTCTAATACTGGGATTTGTTGCTTTTGGCAACCGTGAGGAAAAAAGAAAAAAAAAAAAAAAAATAGAGAGAACCCCCTTTCATATGTTAAACCCAAAAGTGTTTTGAAATTCACAGTTGTGTTTGTGTGCGATACTGTAAAGAAATCAAGCTACTGAAACCCAGTGGAGAACAATAAGAACATAAATGGAGTGACAAGAAACGAGCCTGATTGCAGGCTGAACCCTCCAATCGCTTTCTCTCCTCTAAAACAAGCAGCTCTTTACGTGTAAAGGTGTAACTGTGTGCGGAAATTTAGCTTTAAATGTCTACCACCTCAATCTTTTCCACTTTCCGGTTGGCCATTCGAGCGTATGTAAGTGTGGGCGCGCACCAATGGGAGGAGGGGTTGTGTGTGTGGGGAAAGGGGGGGTGGGGTCTTTAAAAAATATTATCTCTGTACATCTCAAAATCTGTCAGGCTTGAGCGAAACCAAGTCTCTATGCGAAGCTGACCCCAAACCGAAAAGGGTTGAGAGTCACTTCAAAAGAGTTCAGTCGTCATTTCTTTCTTCCTCTCTTCTTTCACACAACCAATCAGGGGACAGACCGGTCGTGCCCCCCTGCCTCGTTTCCAGCCCGATCCCCTATGACTGCACCTCGTACTGGTGGTAGGGGTTTAAAAGCAGTGGCTGAACACATGTGAGGGTCTGTGGCTCTGTCTGTAACATTTGCCCAAAGAGGGACGGGGTAGATAATGGTAGAGGAAAGGACAGCCCACTGGTGGTGGTGGTGGTTGTAGATTTTGCGAGTTTGGGTGAAGAGTTCTGGGCTTCGGCCCTCCGGTTTCTAGGTGCCTCATCTCCCATTCCCTCTCTATTCCTTCCTCTCCGCGGTTCACTCTCTTCGTCTTTCCCCACCACGTCCCTTCTCACTTCATGTCCACGTCAAAGTCCAGAACCAGCAGCTTGGTCTCCTCTGTGCCGTTGCGGCTGCCCACGGCGCACACCAGCTTTGTGTTGGAGGCCCGGATGCGCCACACCACACCGCCGCTGCCGCCGCTCTCCAGGGTCACCAGGTTTCGGATGAACTCTCCCGTCTTCAGGTCCCACAGTTTAACTGTGCCATCGTCCGAGCTGGTGATGACAAAGTTCTTGTTGAACTGGAGGCACGTCACGGCGCTCTGGTGCTTGTGTGGACCTGAACGCACAAAGAGACAACTGGTTAGAGGTAAAGAAAGCAAAGAACAAGTCCTTTACCACTCCATGAACACTGGAACTTGGAAACTACCTGCATTCTTACTAGAAGAACCAGGGTATAATTTTAGTTCCTCAGCCATATTTCCTGTGCTCCAAAAAGTACCTGCTCCAGGGGTGGTAGTTTCTGGTGGCCCAGGAAATATGAGGGACAGTGTTGGTAGTGCTTAGGTCTGCCAACATCTCTTATGTCCCTCAAACACAAAACTAAAAAAATCGCTTAAATTACTATAACTTTGGACAACCTTTATTCAGACAGTAAGCAAGCATTAGGTTGCGAGTGTTATCAATGTAAGGAGTCTAATGTATTGATATTTAACCTTTTGAAGTTATGTAGTAGATGTAGAAGGCTCCCTTGCACATCTACTTTCGCACAACAACATGACTGTGTGCGAAAAGTTGGATCTCAAGGCTAATTTACCTAACCTTTATGGTTGTTAAAATGTGTCAAACAGTAATGTGCAAGAAAGGACTTATTTTTCCTGATAATGCCTGCAGGGTTTTACAGCTGAGGTTGACCGCCCCTTCTAATCTCATAAAAAATGTACATTAACTAAAACATTAACATTCAGGGGAAACACACAAATGTCATTTCTAATGTCTATTGTTCAGGCCGCCATCTTCTAAGGAAATTGATCATGAGACGAGAGGCTTACCACCTCTTTTTTTTTGTACAGATCTGCACCCAAAAAAATAAAAATCATACCATAATTCTTGTTTTTCAATGAAAATAATTGTCAAAATAATCATTCCCCTAGTACTGCAAATCATACCGCAAATACAATATCAGTAAAAATAATTTATTTCATGATTTTCCCTCTAAATTGTTCATCCCTAATAAATAGAGTAATTCAGTGCATATGGTGGCAGATGGGTCCATTTGAAATAAAAGCGTTGTGGCGCAAGAACCCACAGAGAATGAAGAACTCAAAAGAAAACCTCTGAGACAAGGGAACATTCCTCTCTTTAGTTCCTGAAGCCATTGTGACTGTAGTCAGGCTCTAGGACAAGCGGCAGTAAGATGCCAGGACTTAGGCCTGTCTCTGTCACAGCTCCAGCTACACCTCCGTCTGGTGTGTTTGTGTGCTGGCAGCTGGCAGGAGGCCACCGTTAAAGTGAAGATGGCGGCTCTTACTGCCTTCATTGAGGTGACTTTATTTGTGACTGTACGTGTGCAGTGACTTCCCTAAGGAGCTTGAAAATGATATCTTAATTAAATCAATTAGGGCTACAAAAAACACAAACAAGCGCAGAACCAAGTGCTGGCAAATGAAGTGCTTTTTTACTGAGGTTGCTATAGCAGCTATTTCATTCAGACACATTTAATTTCTTTACGCTTTCACAATCCATTTGCAGAGAAAATTTGTTGATATCTCACCGTCAGCAAGCTTTTCACATCTTTTCCATTTCTCTCTGTTGTTAGATCAAAGGCTGTGTTACTACCCGCGTATACAATGCTGCGCTGCACCAGCCCCCAACATGCCTCTCTCCTCCCTCCTTTCCTGCCATTACCACAACAAAGCAGGCTGCGCCATCACTACCTATACTCTCTTCAGATGACAGTGACGACCTCGTTGTTGGCCTATTGTCTTATCAAAACACACTAATGAATGGCAGAAATTGTCAGCTGACCTAATTATATGACCTACAAAGTTCCCCGGCCCTCATCCCTTCACTGTGGTCACCCCCTCTTCACATGACACACACACACACATCCCCCTTTCCCCCCAGTCGTTCTTATCCCCCACCTCCCTCTCTCTTCAGACTCTCACTGGGGCATCCCTTTGTTCAGTGTGTGTGTGTTGGTGTTTGTAGGACCAGCACACAGTAGCTTGCTAATGAGGGCATTTAGGGGTGGGGCACTGGTGGTTACTGCTGCTATTCAGCAAAGGATGTCCAACTTCCTGTGAGGCACCAGTGCTGCTAATGTTAATGGAGTTTGAACTATTCAAACAGACACAAAGGAAATTAGACTGTTTATCAGGACCAGCAAGCCCACAAGGTGTTTAGCTCTGTACTCCCCCCCCCCCACACACAGACAAACAGGTCATTTAGTCTGAGTTTTAATTGGGCTGTCAGTCCAAGTCCCATCTTATGTGCTTTTTGTTGTTGTTGTTCAAGGATGGTATAGCCTTTTGTCTATGTTCAGTTACATATTTACAGTTTAGTGTGCATCTGAGTGGTTCTGCAGCCTCTTGCATACACGTATGTGCAATATACTGCTACCTTCCAATGCAATACTGTTAGGAGTACAATAGAGGGTTTTAGCAATCCAGTGACATGTGCAATATGTAGCCATGTGCAACATGTTTTTCAGATGTTTGTTGATTGTAAACTATTTATTGTCTGTAATGTATGCAGCATTACTGAGCCCAAAACGAATTTCCCTTCGGGGATAATTTTTCATAACAAATCCTGCACAACGTAGACTCACCTTGCAGCGTTTGCAGGCACTGGCCCGTCTTGATGTCCCAGATCTTGACTGTGGAGTCTGCGTTGCCTGAGACCAGGATGTTGTCTTTGAGCTCCATGCCGCTGGTGAGGGACTGATGCCCCGTTAGTGTGTGGATGCAGTTGCCCGTCTCCACGTCCCAAACCCTTATAGACGTGTCCAATGAGCCGCTCACCACGTGGATCCCATCAAACTAGAAGGCAGAGGCGATCAAAAGGTCAGCTGTGACACTTTATCCATTCTGACGGCAGAGTGAATGTGGGTGGAATTAGTTTTAGACTGAAAACCAGGTTGCCAACAGTAACTGTCAACTTAACTTGCAGTTGCAGGTGATGCCTACATGGCATACTTTGTTTCTATTAACAAACTTAAGATTAAACGCATTGAAATGAATGAATTTTATTGATCTGTGAAACTTCTCTTTTTTGTTGCCACGTCTAATAGTAGAGCCCTGACACTTTAAAAGCCTAACGAAGCAGCGTGGTACAAAAACCAATCTCAGTGCAGTAAACAGCCTCCTCTCTGTGGGTGATGGCACCAGCTAAAGTGCACTACAATCACACAGAGTGGGTGAGAGGACACACGGGAATTATTTTTTTCTACAGAATGAACAAACAACCCCACACACACACACACACGTTTGAAGAGGCTGTATTAAAACATTATAAAAGACTAGAAAAGTACCGGCGCAATCAGATTAGATTGACTTGTTTATCTTTAAACATCAAACACTGCATACTTGAGATTCACTGTCATAGAATTGTCGACAGTTTACAGAGGAGACAGTCCTTGAATAAGATGCACCAGCTGTTCATATGTTCAAACTTAGTTAGCCCAGTTATAATGGTGGAGAACATTAGGCTGCCAATATGTTTAGATTTAAAGGTGGGGAATGCGATTCTGGGGAAATCCAACACCATGACAAGTATGATATAGAGCGACCAATAGCCAAGTTGTGGGTTAGCAAACTGTCGCTACAGTTGCTGCTGCAAAGCTAACATGCAGAGAGGACGAGACAGATTCCCCTAGCCAGCACACCAGCTCCAGACTGTGATACTTGCAACTCTCCTGCTACTATAGCTAACACCACAACAGCAGCATATCTTGGTAAACAAGAAAGTAAGCTTAATGCGCATGGGCAAGTCATTTAACATGTCACATAAATCTGGAATAGTGGTGTGTCTTTTTAGAGCCGTGTACAAACACAAAACACAAGTTACCCCGAATTACAAAATGTTATGTTATTGCTGTCTCATTCTAAACTGCATGAATACTATAAACTCTGAAACTCATTTGTTACTGTCTGCAGATGAAAAAAATAAAATGATACCACTTCTGTTTAAATTGCCAGAACATATAATAAGTACAGGCCTATACTAATAGGATATTCCTTAACTTTTAACCAGCTAGTAGTTTTTAGGAACTTCGGAAGGACTTGCTGTCCAAACGTGGGAATAGGGAATAGCTGGTACAACCCGGTCCAGCCTTAACTTTAATCTTAGAGCAGGGGATGGGAGCCTGTTGATGTTGATCACTAAAATGAATAGAATAACTTGGCTGCTGTACAAATGCAAAAAACAACGCACACACTACTGAATGTGTGTGAAGCCGCTCACCTGTAATGAGTACACTCTGTTGGTGTGGCCCTGCAGTGTGTGGAGGCAGGTCTCCGTCTCGGGGTCCCACACTTTGACCATGAAGTCGTAGGCACCGCTGACCACCCGTCGCCCGTCGTACTGGACGCAGCGCACCGCGGCCACGTGGCCCATGAGGACGTGTAAACACTGACCTGTCTCAATGTCCCAGACGCGCAGCGTGGCGTCACGAGAGCCACTGACCACCCTGAGAAAAAAACAGAAAGACGACGAGTCAGGGGTGAATGTACGAGTCTGGGTACAGCATTAGTAGTTATAACTGTTTCACTTTCCCACAGACAAAAAAACCCCAATTCTACAGGATTAATTTTAATAGTCTAACAAAACACTTTAATTCATAAACACATTAATTCCTTGGCAGCTGCATTGACAGATTAATGAGACAGGTATGAACATTTTCTTTCACTCCTCTGACAACGTGTAACCTACAGCGTCACATTCATGTTCAAACTTGAATGTACAAAAACACCCATTTAACTCAAACAGCTGCCCTCCAGCTGTGTCTTCAACCCCAACGGAAAAAGGAAAGATATATTATAGAAAAGGAAACTCCCTTTAGGGAAGATTGACATTTTTCTGATTATTACTGTAAGAACAGCTTGTACTGAGGATATTACTGAAGGTTATTATTAAAAAAAATGAGATGGAAGCAAAACTTTACTCAATTTTGTGAAATCAATTTTATCACAAGCTATTCAGATAAAAACGCATGCTGGATATACACACAGTGCATACTCTTTATTTATAAAAAGGCCTCATGGCACTGCATAGATGGAAATCACCAACATGTTATTCACTGTCTGCCTGCAGCTCACAGCATTTCCACTTACTGAGTAATCAAATGCTACACAAAAACCTTGGTGGGCCCTAAGGCGAAAAGAGCACTTTGAGTCTCCGGAGTGTAATATTGAGTGAATGAGTGAGCAGCGGTTCACTTAAGATGGCTCACGGGGTCTATTTAATCACTATGAGACCACATGCTCACTTTCAAAAAGATACTGTCCTCTTGAGAGTGGTGCAGAGATGCTCTTTTTGCTTTGTGGGATCGTGGAATCATTTTGGACAAATGCTTATTCATTCACTTTCTTGCTGCGAGTAAGACGAGAAAATCATTTGCACAGTATAAACAAACAAGATATAACGTGCCATTTGAGCTTTAGAGTTGCTGGTCGGTGAGTTTTTACCTTTGGGCAGAGCTAGGCTAGCTGGTTACTCCCGCTTCTAGCCTCTATGCTAAGCTAAGCTAGCCGTCTTCCAGATGATAGCTTCACATTTACCGTACAGATGTGAGAGTGGTATCGATCTTGTCATCAAACTCCCGGTGAATAAGCGTATTTCACGAAATATTAAACATTTTTACAAATAAAACTTTAGATTTATGTACTAATTTTCTAAATAAAGCTTCATAATTTACATATTTAGCTGCACCTAACATCATTTTATCATATTTATTGTTTGTCAGAAAATAGTGCATAACGCCCTTCACTCTTTGCTGAAACCCAAAGTGAAATTTCTTGTTTTTATATCACCAACAGTAAAAAAAAAAAAACCCAAAAGATATTAGGTTTAACGTTGCACAAGACAAAAAGAGCAACACATTCTCACACACTTGAGAGGCTGGAAAAATGAAAACAATTAACATATTAATACTCTGTTGACAAACTCATCAATTAATCGACTAACTCTTTCAGCTGTAGATTTATTAGCTCAATGTGCATCATATCTAAAGCACTACACTGCCAAAAGACACTGCAAAAGCGTGTTATTTTTAATTCTGCACAGGCTTAACGATGATCTCGCACCATACCTTTTCTCATGTAGGTGCATGCAGCGCACTGTTGAGGTATGCCCGTAGAGGGTGTGGATACATTCTCCTGTCTCTGCGTTCCAGACCTTGAGTGTGCGATCAGTGGAGCCGCTGATAATAATATTGTCTCTCATCTGGGATGACCACACGCCCCCTGTGTGGCCCACCAACGTGCGCAGACACTGAAAGGATCACAGACGAAGAACAGTCTCGATCAGTGTATTCCGCACTGCTACTTCACACTTTGAAATTAACTTTACTTATAACCAAAGACATTCAGGGTGATTTCATTCATACATATTACATTTACGATCTCCCCCCCGCCCCATGACCTCCTTCTGCCCTCAAGGGGAGAAAAAAGACAAGTAAAATTTCTGTGACCTTTTAGGGGAAAGAGGAGCTCAGTCGTTCCATACCTGCTGCTGTACTGGGACAAATTCTCTTCCTGAGCTTTTATAATTGCTTTTACTTGGAATCTATCTGTTGGAAAAGCAGGCGATTCATCTTCTTTGCAGAAAGGGTTGACAACTGTCTTCAATAAAGAAATGCGACCCATTCATTCTCATTAGGGATGGTAGATTAGCTATTGATTACAGCAGTTATGGAAATCTTTCTGATCAATTGAATATGTGTCTGCACAGTTTGTTCATTTGTACCGATTTAATTATCCTAAATGCATTAAATTAGAAGACGGAGAGGAGCAAACTGTGGACGAGATCAGTTGCGAGTGCTGTAGTTATGTCAGGTTCAGAGTGGAGCGTGTTGATGAAGTGTACTACATGTGACCCCCTGACTGCAGCTGATAAGCTGCTAAGCAGTGAATGTCGGCGCAGGGTAAGAGGTTTTATTGCAGCGAGTGAAAGAGGAAGATGATGGTGCAACCTGTCTTCCCCCTCACTGTCCTGTGATAAAGAGAATCACTTCATTAACTGTGGGCCATTGTGGCATGCCCCTGCAATCAACCTCACTACCGTGTTAAAACTCTTGTTTTACTGCCATGGTCCTTTCTTTTAGCGTTATACAGCTGTGAAAAGAATAATACTACAGCTGGAAACATTGCTAATTTGTGGACTATTGTGGTATATTATCATGATTATTTACGACGCTCTTGCTGTCCAACATGTATCTTAATCCGCATTTAAGAAAAATATTTGCTTTTCCTTCACTAAACTACCGGCCTGCAGTTTATTTTAATCATACTCTCAACGATGCAAGATTTTTCTTGTGAATCGAAGCCAGCGGTTAAGGTTTAAAAAACAAGAATCACAGATTAGAGCCTACTCAAACATTGCGTGGGAAGAGAGAATACCTGAAATGAAGGGTTTAGGCGTCTTTATCCGTCTGTGAAACAAACATAAAATGATGCTGTCCCTGAGAGTGAAAGAAGATTTGCATTCTTATAATGGACCTGTGAAAGACCTTGTTTTGAACACATGAGGGTTTTCATACAATGCTTTATATTTGCATATTTTCTTTTTTATTAACGAAAACAACACAGTATCAAGTACAGCAGCCACAGAGCTCTAGACCATGAAAGTCTGATTATATACTGTAGTTTTGCAAGGCTAAAGGTGCATACATCTAATGTTTTGCAAAGGTTGAACTACCTCATGTCAAGCCTTTACATTATTATAGCTTCACACGGCAAGATACATTAGGCAATCTTAAGTTTTCTCTCATCTTTAACATTTTTACCCTTTTTGATTCATTTCAAAGATTAACAGTAAAGAAAGAAGAACAGGAGCAAAGATTTCAGATGGTCCGTGGTTGTGAGTACTTCTACCATGGCGATGGAAAAAGCACATTTCTGCTTGGCTGGCAGCGGTCTGTTTAACAGAGCTCCAAAGTAGATCTGTTCAAACAGTACCTACATTTGGATTAAACAACCACAGCAACAATGGAGATGATATGCGCTATGTAAATGATGAAATACCGTAACAGCTAAGCTAACCAATGGTTTAATCAAATCCACCATACTAGCCAACATTTTTAAGAATTGTTTGGTTCAGTAATATATTCCAAAGGCATCCTGACAGACACTGTAATGGAGTTGAAGGAAAAATCTCACTTTTCTTTCTCTACCAAGAGCTTCTCTTGGCATGTTTTCCCCCTGCAACTGCAAAGAGGGACCATGTTCTCAGATTGTCAAACAGAATTAATGCAGGAGGAATAAGGACGATTAATGAAAGGACTGAATGAAGACTAAAAGATATTCTGAGTGAGAATGAGGACAGCAACATGTTTGCACTGTTCCATTCCTTGAGCCTTGACATGGCCATGAGCATTACTGTTTCACTTTTAATACTGACAAGACTACCCTGCAGTCTATGCACAGATAACTACACAGTTCACAGGGGATTATTATGGAAACACACCTTCCGCTGTGCAGTCACACACACCAAAAGAATAAATGCTAGATGTCCTTCATTACATTAATTTAAGTAGTAATTTCCCCATCGCTAATGATCTTAATAATATTCCTGTTACAATCACAGCTCCAAAATCAATCTTTAATCTCCATTAGTGAAAAAGAGGAGAAGGTAAACTGGGTATCCATGCAACTGAGGCATCTGGCAGAGGAAACCAGTCCCTGGCTACGACAGCAGTCCACAGGTCTGCCATCTTAGATCTGCCTGACAGCTGAGACTGCTGCTGACAGGCACCACCAAGGGCATGCTCTGCTCTGTTAAGCACCAGGCAGCCACCTCTGAAGCAATGAGATGTGCACGGCTGTTTGTGTGAGTGAAAGATTGACATCTTCAGGTGAAGACGGCGCCTTCAAGAATCGTCTAAGCAACTGCTTCTTCAGCAGGAAAACAACGCCTTTAAAAAAAAAAAAGTCATCCATACCACAAGTCTGAACCGCACATGCAAGATGACAGATGAAAAACTTTAATTTAATCTCTGATGCAATATTTTCACCCACAATCAAATTCCCCATTGTCTCAGCTGATCACTAAGCAACGGCCCAGTTCTTTCAGAGGCGTGGAGGCATTTTCACATAATGTGCGCTTACAATAATTTCCTGATTGCCTCACAGCATGGGTTCAATTCGTTGTCTTTTATATAACAAGGTTAATGAACGGCAGGATAAAACTGGCTGCAAAGATGAAACAGTAGCCACTATCTGTCATAGTGTTGGTTGAACCTTTGGCAAGACTGCACTGGAGTAATACTTGTTATAATTTAAATCCATGTCACCACAATAGGACACTTTGCTTTCTGTGCAAAAAAATACCCGGTGTGTTTAAAAAATACATGATTCACAAATAAATCTTGAACAGAAAAACAAAATGATATTGAACAGATTCATTCAACTATTGATAGAAACATCTGTTACAATCTTGTCAGCATCATCACTGATGCACTATTTAGCAAAGGCCTGGGGACACTGTGGGTGGAGAGAAAAACATGACAACATTTTGATGCCGAAAAGTGACGCAACGCCATTTGATTCACCCCACGTTGTCCCATCACAGGGGAATCTTTTTGATCGCTCTAAATTGAACACAAGGTTTCTGAGCAAAAGCAGCAAGTGGCAGAGGAGAAGTGTTAACACTGATCTACCTCTGGCACAACTCGTCTATGCTGTGATTTCTTTTTCCTTCCCATCAATTTAAATCCTCTACCTACAGTCGAAGCCGCCTGAGCTGCATTTCAAATCTCTCCTCTGAAGAAAAGGACATATGTAGCCGCGAATGTCTGAGAGTGTGAGCCAATTTACCCTTGTGATCTATAATCGTCGCACAAACTCATTACCGATTTGTAGGGACTGCTTTTTCCGATGAAGGAAAGGAAAAAAAAAAACAACAACCCAAAATCAAAAATACGATCTTTTCAGAGCATGTAGGTGATGGAGCAAAGAAAAGAAAACCACCTATTCAGTCTAATGGCATCACGCTTCAAAAGGAGAAGGTTTAAAGACTAACAGCAGTGTTCTTCATCTCTGTTTATCTTCATGCTGCAATCTCTTACTGATCCAATTCTGAGTAAGATCTTCTGTTTAAGAAGCTGAGCTGTGGAAAAGTTCTTGAAGTTAATTCCACTCCACCCTTTCCTACCATAGATCCCTTTTGTCATTTTTGTAGGGGGCGAGGACATCTCTACAGGATGTGTCACACATAGTAGTATAAATCGGAAAATGTATTTGAGCTAGCCATAAATCTGTAACTAAGAAGTATATAGGGGCCATTATCATGCTCAATTATGCCTTATAAGATGTTGCAGCAAATTTTTTGTTTTGACACAGATATGGTGCAAAATTTAATTGCTAGCATGCCATGGTACCAATGGATGCCTTAGGTCATCTAGTTTCATATGATACTAGTATCTTCACTCTAGCTTTAAAAGAGCCCACTACAGCCTCTGGAAGACAGTAATGTAGGCATCCCAGTAGAGTTTACCATTAAAAGGATTTGTGTGAAAAAAAGATGCCCCAAGGTCAAACAAATCACTTTTAAAGAGAAGGTTAAGGAGTAGATATTTTCCAAACATCTTGCTAATATGAAGGACAAGAGAGATGGATATTGGCACGTGAATTGGGAGCCACAAGAAGCATTCATCCAAGGGCCATCGCAAACTGTGTAACACCTCCATATCACTGATAGCTACTTCACAGTCATGCATCTCACGGGGAAAGACGGACAGCGTGGAAAACGTAGCAATCGAGTGCTCAAATATGCTGGCGAAGGCTATAAAGAAAGTTGCCAGCAAAGAGGAAAAACAAATGCAGGTGCTGGTAATCTCATTGTATCTTTACTTTACAGTTTTACTGGCATCGACAGCTACTTCACCCGAAATGGTCGACTAGGTTTAATTGGCCATTCCTTTCAAGTGAGGGATTCTTTCTCTGGTGTCAAGAGCTAAGGAAGCAAACAGATGAAATCCAGAGAGAGGGATGTGCTCTGAATACAGCACCCAAACAGAAACGGATTTAGTCTCATCGCCTCCTCATTACTAATGTAAACAAACAACTCTGAGTCGGATTAACGTTGTACAAACCACAGACAATATCCTGTGTGACTGTCAGTCTGAATACAGGACAGTTTGACGAAAAGCAGTTGAGCCTGCTGGCGATGTGACTCATCACAGACTTCCACCACCAACATGGAGCCACTGTAGCTGTAACTCAACAACCTATCATCAAGAAAATTGTCTTTGGGTAAAGGAGAGCCAAATCGTGCTCCATGCATATCGGATGACCTTGGCGAGATCTGTTCAGATCAGCAAATGCTGTGACTGATATGCGTGTAATCACCAGTTGGCTGAATACCAACATTACTACCTGTTAGACTCAGTCTTTGCAGCAATGAAAAGCAAGCTCTCTGGTCGATTGTGCCCAACAGAAAGAGAAGCCTACTGCAGTGTGATCATGCAGAATATCAATTTCTCCGAGGGATTTTCTTTTAATGTGTTTTTATTTTATTTTGATGAAATGAAACGGCAGAAGTTCACAGCACAAACGCATCAATTATTTGCCATGTAAAAGTGAAAGGAATCGAGTGGAAAAGAGAAATATGCAACAGCAGTTTACAGAGGATCTTCTGAAAATAGAGTCCAACACAGAGGCGTGAAAGCGCAGAGATTTACAACAATCTGTGAACCTCTCTCCAACAACACAGTACAACCACTGCCTTTCTTTTTAATACACAGTGTAAAGCTGCAGCACAAGGCCCGTGTGGCTGCACCAGCTTCAGCAATGAATACTAACACTGCTTGCGGACATGTGCTGTGTAACAAGTCTGCAAAATGGCTAAGAGGAGAGAATAGACTGAAATAGAAGTCTTGCGAGGATGTTTTTACGTGACTAATGTTACTAATAACTACGTGTCAGGTTAGCAGGAGCTGTGCGGATACAGTTAGGTGTCAGGGAGGAAAGCTGATATGTTTTTATGTCTAGCTAAATGTACAATGAACCGTGAAGCAATTATTCAAATGACACAAAATGAATGAAGTTGATTTAACTTGAACTTCGGTTACCCCATACCTTTCCTGTGATGGCCGACCAGACTTTCAGCGTGTTGTCGTCTGAGCCGCTGACAATGCGGTTGCCACAGAATTGGAGGCAGGTGATCACGTGGTCATCATGACCTTTCAGCACCTTTAGATTGGACGGATAAAGAGAGATGCAATGAGAAGGGCGTGGAGGATGGAGGTGGATGTGGAATGACAACGCAAATGGCAAGAACAGAGGTTGACAATGTCACATCTCTGGTGCTTTATACATCAAAGAGGAGAGGAGAAGAAAATGTCATCAAGTGCTGCAGGTGTACACAGCTTTTTAAGCAGAGGTGTGTGTGTGTGTGAGAGTGTGTGTGTGAGAGTGTAGACTCTGTAGTTTGCTGAGCTAGCAGTCCTGTGACCCAGAGTACATAGCATATGCAAAAGAAGTTGAAGAGCACAGCCAAATTTACATCAGTGGCCTAAAACGACCCCAAGGCCGTTTGAAAAGAAGCACACAAGGCGCATTAGGGATAAACTCTAGTATGCTGGTCATGCTTTATGGCAAACTTCTAAACTGGTGAAATACAAATAGATTGAAGGAGAGTAAGATCATGCTGTGCTCCAGCTCAATTATCCTCCAACACTTACACTGCGGAGCACGGACCTGCCCGGCCACTAACTTTCCATCGTTTACACCTCAGACCGTCATTGAACTGTCTTTCTTTGAATCAAAGTCATTTGATGTCAGATCTATAAGATCAGCTAACCTCTGGGTTATTGAAGTTTGAAGGAAAAGCTACCTTGGGTGATTTGAGGTCCCCTCTCCTCCAGTTTGTGTCTATTCTGTGCTGCCTGATGTAGGCACTCTTCCAGGGGCTGTGAGTGAAGCCAGGCTTGACGATTTTCCTCTTCTTGGGGGGTAGAGGCTCATCGATGCCTATTAGGAGAGAGACGGAAGCAGATTGGACTAACAGGCGCATGTTTTTTTCTTAAAGTTTATTTTAATAACCGGTACAACCACATCTTCAAGCACAGTGTCGACCACAGCGGCAGCTGCAGACTGCTCCCGCTGGGTGACTGCGTGTTGTCTGTCTGTCTACATCTGTTGCAAAGACTTGAGACTCACCTTCTTCCCTGCACTTCTCCCTCCACAGCAGGTTGTCTTCTGCCAGGATGCGCCAGTAGCGACACGTCTGGGCTGCTTGGAGGAGGTCCTTCGGTTCCAGGAATGACAGCACATACAAAGCCAGCTGTTGAAAGACAAGGATGGGGAATGCAAGAAGTGTAAATGGAAAAGGAGACACAAAAAGGACCCATTATTCACAACAGTACAAACACATCATGGAAGAGGACTTTAAGCTTGAAGTGACTAAATAATAACAAAAAGGAACAGCTAAGAAAACAAACTATGTGCACAATATTAACAGCATGAATCTAACTGACAAGGTTAGACGTGAAGCGAATAAACATTTCTATTGGAGCCTAACAAAAAATATACAAAAGGAGCTTCGCACAGCAGATAATACTGTCAGGGCTACTATTTGTTAAGCCAAAGGCTGCATACTATGACACAAAATCTGGTATAATGAGCATAAATCTGGACACCTGAGTATTAGGGAAAAAATGCTAAGGTCTGCTGTTTTTTCAAACAGGCATATATTTGGACAAAGCTCTCAACACGCAATAACTGCTGCAACTATGAAACAACACGGTGCATCAACGATCAGGTCACGTGCCTGCTCTGTATCATCATAAAAGGGGGGGGGGAGGATTATGGGTTCATTTTGCAGGATGAGGTGTAACCCATTGTGCAAATATTGTTCTTTTATTATATTATAGTAATCCCAGATGATGATGACCCACAGCACACTGTGGGATAAATTCAGGAGTGGTGTCATGAACACCATGTCGCCGTGGGTTTCACAAAGATAGTTTAGACTGGTTTACAATGATGGTAGTGTTAGGCCAGCCTTTATTTTGTTCGTAGACATAACAGGCCTGTTATAATTTCTCACCACACAAGATTATAGCTTAAATAGCTTGTTTCATTCGACTAAATATCTCTAAAATCCCAAAACATTGAGTTTCCTATCATCATATAACAACAAACCATGAAATCCTCATATTCAAAAAGGAAAACATGGCTCATAATTTGTGCTTTTCTGACAATGTTGTGAAGCGATTAATAATAAGGGTTTTAGTCAGTCTCTGCCAGCCACAAATTTTAGTTTAAATTTACCCAGAATTCAATGCAGACTAGTCCTGCTTAAGATATTCAAGAACCAGATAGCTTTGTGCAACAGATGAATTTAGACGGCCATCTGACATCTGACTTTTAGTTCGATATCAGCGATAGTCCAAGTCCTATCCTTGTGACAACAGGCTCCTGATCTGAAAATCATTGTACCTTTAAGTTCCCTTAAAGTTCTCAAGCACTTCATTCGTCAATAAATTTTCCATTTCAAATATCACACTTGACGCAGTTCAAGAGTTCTTGGAAAACATTTTGACTGAGGATCATTATCGAGGGTTTTTACAGTAAAGTTTTAGGGTTATTCTAAGTGACTTGGCCCAGACAAGACCCACAACCCCTGACACACCTCCATCACCTGTAAGCCTGTCTAAGCCAGTAGTCATTACCAGGCCTGAGGATATTCTAAAAGTTTTATGAATGGACCTCGAGTCTGTGATTGCTTTTTAAGCCTGACACGCCGCCTTCTGCAGATTGTCTTCATAGGTTCAATTACAGCGGTTTCTACAGCGTGGCTACAGGGATTGTCCTGTTAAAATTACTTAACAGCTCCGCCAATATATTTCCAGCAGCTCTGGCAGAGAGGAGAGAGATGGGATTATCCAAAGAAGTCAGAGGGAACAGGATATATAAAAAATAAAAGGAGAAACCGAAAACAAAATGAAGAGAGTGCTCGTGTCCTGGTGAGAACACACATGATGATGTATATTTGGCTTCGGAGCAAGTGGTGCTGACACCTTGAAATCTTTCATTCTATTGCCTCACTCTCTATGCCACCAACCCATCCCTTTCATCCTAACACCTGCCAGACAGAAACAAGGTGTTAAGTATTTGATCAGCTACACCAGACACGATGGGTCGCGGCTGTTTTGTAAGAATCCCTTATGTGATCTTATCATCAGTGTGACACTTAAGATTATTTGTATTGTCAGTTATGATGCAGAAACACCCACTATGGATGCCGTTAAATGATGTGAAGGAAGACAGCGACAGTATTAAGGCTGGCGAGGAAGCCTCTTCTTTGTCACGTCATGCTCACTCAAAAACAATGTCTACCACGAGGGATTCCCGATGGGAGCTCGGGTCAGAAGGGAAAGGAATAGGAGGACAAGGACTAGAGATGTTGTGAACTGATAACAGAAAAGGGGATTCAGGAACTCACCTCTTTGGGGAGCAGGGAGATGAAGTCTCGCTGAAACTGAGGCTCGATCACCTGCATCATATGCTTGACTTGTGTGGGCTCACAGCTGTCAATCAACTCATCCAGCGCCAGCAGCTTCTCTGGGCCAGTCCAGCTCTGCAACAGAACAGGATAAAGAAACTGGTTTCAAAGAATTACATGCTCTACATTAAATCCTGGCTTTAAAATAAGTGCAGTTGATAGGAACACAAGCTACACTACATGTCATCAAAAGTTGGATTGGATTTATTTTTGTTAAATCAGTTGTATGCAAGCCTGGGATGGCAGACCTGCTGAAACTAGCAACTCACGAAGTCAACTCACGATGACAGTCTCAACTCTGCTAAAAAAAAAAAAAAGAGAGAATTTAACAAGCCGACTCAAGATGAGCTCTAGGAATCTTGACACCTCAGATGTTAGGATGCACGTTCAAGGTTACTCTAGTTATGATGGTGGTATAAAGAAAAGGTGTTGCTAATTAAAAGTACTGAGCTGCACCGGCTGTCAGCCATGTAAGATACTTTGAGACCTTCATCACAGCTAAACATGGGAGGCTTACGACAGGAAGTAAAAAGCCTACGCCAAATCAAATATGCGGATCATCAGATCTCCATGCCGGGTGTTGGGCGGGGCCGGGTTTGCCAGCAAGATGGAAACAGATGATCCGCTTTGGTGACCCCTATGGGGAGCAGCCAAAAGACAAAGGAGAAGATCACAGCTAAATGTAATGTCATTCTTCACCACTGATATCCATTAGAGTTTGGACTGTATTTGTACTGTTTGATGTATTTTGCTGTTGGGCAACACAAGTATTTGAAAACATTTTTCAGGAGTAGCAAGTTCACTTACTTTACATTTCAACAGCATAACATTCAAATAATTTAACATGTATCTACTTGTGTTTAGGACTTTGCAATTGTTTCAATGTAAAGTCATGTTCTAACACACTTTCTGTTATAGCTATTCAGTGTTTTTTTCTCATTTGGTATCAGTACAACATTATAGGAACTGTTTGACTGTATTCTCTCTGTATTGTCCTCACCAGAAGTTTTCAAAATAAATAAAAAAAAATTTTTGGCTACAGGTTGGCTATCACATGTGGAAATACACTAGTGTATTGTCAGCAGAATACTCATTGCATCTCCACACTTGGATTGCCACACCCAGCACAGCTGTAAAAGTATTCAGTGTTAACTGAAAAACATAGCAGCGGGGCATTATGGGCCGGTTGTGCGAATGTATCGTTGTCAAAGTAGACTCCTTAGTGAGCTTGGGTAAGCTCTTATTTTACTTTGATTGGGGTGCCTGGGAGACAAGTACAAGTCTGTAACATGCTAATGTTCCCTACGTGACCTCCACAGCGGTGGTACAGAGATGCTTGAGGCACCTGCCTATTTCTAGCAGCCAACACATTAGTGGAAAATTTTAACATCAGGAAGCAGACTCCATTAACAACATTAGAACTCTCTGGGATTATTTTTCCTGCGTTGGCTGCTGAGTAGCACTGTACTGCATGTTGGACCCAATAGCTGCAGTTGTTTTCCTCTGTGGAGCGCTGAAATCTAACAATGATTACAGGCTGCGAGGCAGGAAGAAAAGTCTGGCGCACACAAACCACCTGTAATTTAGCAGCTAAATACTATAGCCAGAGGTGTGGTTCTAGAGGTAATCAGGTGGTTAAGAGACCTCCTCCCTATCATTGGGAGGACCACGCAACAGCTACTTACGTGTTACATAATTTTTTTGCCATAAATTATTGGTAGTTTTTGTTTAAACAGAATTCTAAACAGTACAGGTTCACAATTCCCAACCCGAGGCTGGATTATTTTGTTTAAACTGCTAGAAAACTTTATAGCCTCTAGTTACGTATTCATAAAAGTACTTGGCAAAAGTTTTATGTTCAAAAAGTTCCTTAAAAGTTTAAGGCTTTTCATTGTTCCCTATGGGGCTGTACACTTTGCAGGTATATTTAATATTTATCTCAAATCAAACTTCCTCAAGGTATTCCAAGAGTTTCCAAGATAAACTAAAAGGTAGTTTAAAATATTTGGTTCCTGTCAATTATCTGCTGAGAACTGCTGTAACACAAACCAGAAGAAAATATTTGGGATGTGCTGATACTTGAACATGCAGGGAATTCACGCAGGCTCACTGATGCGGATCAAAGAGAGAGTTGTTACTCTTTTGATCCACTTATCATTGTTTAAACATTCAGTTTCTGCTGTAAAAAATCCTACTTCATTTCATAATGACTGAATTTTTTAGCCTTAAAGGTTTCAAGCAAAACCAATGAGAAATTTAGTGTTATTTAGTGAGCTTTGGAGGTGCTGCCAGGCTGATTTTGTTACCACGCGACAGAGCCATGCTAACTGTTTCCAGCCTTTATGCTAAGCTAATTGGCAGTAGCTTTATATTTAATGGAAAGATACGAGTGGCCTCGCTCTTCTCTTCTAACTCTCTGCAAAATAAGCATATTTCCCAAAATCTTAATGTAATATGTGATTTTTGCCATGACCATGTGTATCCGGACTTTTTTGTGGAAAACATTCTTTCTAGCTTTAGTATGCGGCTTTGTAGCCGTTTCTCCCTCTGTAATGAGAGCTACAGGCTAGGACTGGACTGGGGAATGTACAGAATGTACGTTGGAGGTTTAGCTGCCTGTAGCCTGCGGTGCCAGATCGAAGACAGTAGACTGTGGCAGGTCAGGCCTGCGGACTAATATACATAAAACAAACACTGAGGTGTCAGAGGTTCGCCCAGCTATTCAAAGATAATGAGTTTAAGCACTCTTAGGTAATGAAATCCATGGGAAACTATTATATAGGAAATCAGAGCGACCCCGTCAAGGCTAATGTTTAAATGACATCCTATTTCCATGACGTCTGGAGTCATTAGAGCCGAAGTCTAATATGAAAGAAATGTCTCTATTATGTTGCATCTGCACAGACAATGATAATATAATAAAATGAATATAAAAAATAGGGTAAATTATAATATAGAGAAAGTACCTGATGGATACCAGTCTACTGTCTCTACAGACACTGACAGTAAACCAGATAAAATATGTTGTTTTCTAATCATGGACACAAAAGAAATCCAAAGTCTGCATTACTGTCCTTGGATGATGAAGTAAAAATACATGACATGTTAATAATAGGCTTAGATTATAGTGCAGCAACTTTAACTTTATTTCAGAGGATCAGAGAAGGCAACATCTGTTCAACTTTTAATACAGACCATAGGTTATAACTCTGCTTTTTAGTCTGGTACAGGTATGGCTAAATCCAATCCCACGCTACAGTGCCTATGGTAATGTGGTGGGCCAGGACAACAAGGCAGCAATTATCTCTGAGACTAAGTGAACATTGATTGGGTGTAACATCTGCTTTTTGATGAGCTTTTGCTCGAGGATTCAGAGTTGCCCATGGGGTAAAATGAAAAAGAAAATGAAAACTCCACTGTGCTCACCTGAAATGTTCGGAGCCATTCCTGGAGACCCGTGGGTGGCTGGATTGAGGTGATGCGCCGTCTCTGCTGCCCCTGACCATTGGCTGTTCTAATGTGGCCAAATGTGGTGGGTGTGGCTGGACAAGGGACAATTCCTGTCGGGCTGCAATTAAAGAGAGAAAAACCCTTAAAAGCGAAAATCATACGGGACCTTCAAAGGCAAAAAGCCTTAGAGAGAAGATGAGAAAGTACTGCTTTCAACAAGAAGTATTAAAAACAGAATAGCTTCACTTTAAACTAAAAGCATTTTACATATGACTGCTTTGACTGATCAGTGATTTGATTTGGCAATAAAAACCCCAGCTGAAAGCATGTCTACTCTGCACATTCAATACAAACTGTGTTTTCTTTTTATATTATACTGATTTCCTTAATTAAACCCTGTCTTGCATTTTCTAGTTTCAAACTAAATGTTATCCTGTTGGTCACAAAAGGAGAAGCACATTTCAATCACGTGCAGTAGGTCAAAATCACAACAAACTAAAATGTAAATGCCTGAAAGTACTTCCAATATTTTTAACTCCGAGACTTCAAAGCATGCACAATCCCACAGGTTTCTGTTGGAAGTCTGGTTGTAAGAACCTGAATGTGAAAAGCACCACAGGACTTCAAAGGGCGCCCGTGTGCTCTAGTAATGTAAGGGCAGCGGAAGAAACCGTCCAGTTGGCACCTTCGACACTTCAGATTCTGCTTGCTGACAGCAAAATGGAAAGCTGGGGTCCATTTCAATATTGATTCATTTTTAATGGGAGAGGAAGCTAAGACGGGGCCAGTTACATGGCAACGTTTACAGTTAAGTGGCTGTGTTCAGTCTGAATTTTAATGTGGCTACATGTGAACACGTGCATTAAATATTTAGGGTTAGAGAAACATCTGAGGCTGCTGGCTGGATGCTTGAGATACAATATGATGAAGAGCCTCATCTTGCGTGAAGATACAGTATCTTGGTTCATACAGTACCTCTATTTTTTTTCTCATTTCTTTTCACAGTAGATTCATTTAATCTATGTATAGTACTAAATATGGAGCTATGATCTCTTTAAAATGTCATTTCAACTAAAATCCCTTTGACCCTTTGGTGGGAAACAATTGCAAAACACTGCAGTAGAAGAAAAATTAGGATAAGGCACACCTCTGTTGAGCCACTTGGTTGCCTTAGGGGTGAAATCTAAATTGCTTTACCTTGGATACTCTGGACCTTTGCAGGGCTTTTTTCCTGAAGGGAAAGACCGGACCTCAGGGCCATGGTCCAACTTTCTCTTCATCTGAGGAAGAAAAGAAAAAAAAAAAAAGACAGAAAAGAATTAGAAACCATCACGGCGTAACACTGGAGGAGACACAAACACAAAACAGAAACCTAATTATTACACTGCACCCGTGCTTCTGATAACTTACTTTCAAAAACAACTAGTTATGATTTGAGTTTTGATGATAGATTCTAAGTCACCAGCTCTTGAAAAGAAAATTTGAGAAAGGACATGGGTCATGGATGTTTTTTAAAAACAGAGTTGGAAGCAGAAATTTGCTTTTGTAAGCTACAGACTTTGTTAACATTATGTCTGAAATTCAGCATATTAAAACACAGACATCACAGTCTTGCAACAGCTTTATGCAGATAGGAAATTAAACTTTAATGCACAGGCTATATTCAATTTATTAACATGCTCCATAACAAAGCAGAGACCTATCTGTAGATGAAGCAGCTCAACATTATGATATAGTAAGAAACAAAACAGGCACTTGTTTAACAATACTGTGCTTTATTTTGATTATTTTCCATAGTGCAGGCACATGGCAGGTAAACATGCCAGACATGCCGTAATATCTAGAGGCAGTCACACATTCACACCCAAAACTCAAAAGGTGTACAGCATGTTCACACGCGCAAGATAACCACCAAGTACAACAACGTGTTCAGGGAGGGTACAGGGTGCACTCTTTCTTTGAAGTTTGCTTCACACGGATACTTGACAAGGAAAAGCAGAGCAAGATGAGTCTTTATCACTCCATCACCTGCATGTGCACACACCAACCAATCCCTGTTACCACCTATCCTACTGCGCAAACAAAGGAGCCTGTGTAAAGGCCTGGGCAAGCCAATTTTCTTCATCCCATGCCTGCCACTCTCTCTGGCAAGGCCTCGCACCACACATGCAAGTGATCATCATTCTCATGGCCGCTCCCCCGTGATTAACAAGCTGAACAACCAGACACCGATTGATTTTAAGGCCGAAAATAAGACATACAATGTGACAGTCTGGTCTTGTCTCTTGATTAATTAAATGTGTTTCATGTTTAAGTGAAAGCGTGGCGAGATTCAACCGTGTTCATGCAGTTTCAAGTTTAAAGCCACCGATTCTCCAACAAGACAAAAAGGCTCTTCTCTTGATTCTCTGTCTGGGCTTCACTGTAAATCAGCCCTGTTGTAGGAACCACCAGCAGCACTAACAAGGGTGTATTATGACCAAAATACAGACATCATGGTGCAGATGAATGATTTTTTTCCTGAACTGTAGAATGTTTTTCACAAGGTTCTATGATATTACTATTGTTATACTTATGGCACAACAATCAGTGTTTTGCACTTTCATTTAGGGTCAAAATAATTTGTCAACTGTTTGCCTACAGTTACAGTCGAGCGCTGCAAGTTGCAACCTGTACTTGAAAATGTGTTACAGAACCTCCATCTGTGCTTCTGCTATTGTAGAAAGCAGAAACCACATTCACAATTACTCCCAAAACAAAGCTGTTTTCATGCATTTTGGGTATGTTATTGTATGCTACACAAGAAAACAGCACTGGACGTTTGACTCCGTACTGTCTGGCTTTACAGTGGCATGATTACATGTCTCTCCTCAAGATGTGTGTTTTTTTTGTTTTGTTTTTTATCACTATAATTTGGTAAGTGTGTGTTTGTCCCCCCCAGTGTTTTCAGCCTGAGATGCACATTTGAGCGTTGAGAACAGCACGCAATATATCAAAGCAGTGATGATGAACGACGAAAAACTATTTAGAAAAGCCGAATGATGAGCAGGATGTCAGCAACTGCACCCCTGCATTAGGCATCAGTACAGGATCCCTACCTCAGGATTTATTTTGTGGACTACAGAATGGATCAATGCACAGAAACAACCAAAGCCTGAGTTTATAGAAGAATGTGTACATGACTAGCACACCAACTTGTGCTGCAGTTTAGGTGCTCCCCTGGACTTTAGACTGTAATCTGAAAAATGATTTGTGCTCTTTTCCTCACAAGTCCGCTCCTGTGTGAAGCTGCAGAGAGGATCACGGGAAGAGCCATTAAAAAATCTTGAGTAATTTGTTATGGAAATGTATAGAAAAGCACAGGGAAATGTAATCTATATGGCATAAAACAAATGCTTTCAAAAGCTATGTAGGTATGTAGCTTCTGTTCTACTCGTCTACATTTAAAATATCTGTCTGACAGCTTGTTTGATTATTAAGGAAAAAAAGGGTAGTGGTGGGAGGGGGGTGGGGTTATAAGATATTTCTGCTTCTTAGGATCCAGCTCTATAACCCCACTGCCTTGTTCTTAACGCGGTGATCTCACTGCTATGGCAGTTCAGTAGCCAAGGAGAGCCTGGGTGTGTGCGTATGCATGAAGTGGATGTGTGTGCGTGTATGTTTTCTGTGTGTGAAAGAGAAAAAGAGGGAGCGCTAGCTGGCTTTGAGTGTGTGCGCCTCTGTGTGCACATGGAAGAAAAAGCTCAAACTAAAATGCGGGCGTGAAAACAAAATAACAGTGTGTAACCAGCCTCTCCTTGGGTTTCAGCCTGGGAAAAGGTAACCAGAGAACGCAGTGTTTGTAAATCACTACTAATCAGTCGCGCCCCCCCCCCCCCCCCTTTTGGATTCCCCCTTTCCCTATCTGGCCAAAAGCACGACAGATGGATACACAGAGTGTTAATGATATTTTAAAGACAGCAATCGCTCTTACATAATGTGTTGATTCATTTTAACGGAGACTACATCCTGCAGCATCAGTCACTTGAAAATCTTTTCTCATTTTTCAAACAGTGTTTCGAGCAGCCATGAAACAGTTTCATCATGTAAATCAGCTTTCCTTGAGACGGAGAAACAGTTGCATCCGAGAACTGGCCATTTTGGAAAGAATTGGCAAGTTGTGGACTTCATAAGGACCAGGATTGGAATCAAACAAGAAAATAGATTTGTATATGTCTTAAAAATAAATGAGTCTTGGTGTTTCACTTTCTGTCAGCACCATCAAAGAGCAGCAGAAAAATATTCAAGCTCTAGGGGCTGACTTCAAAATCCTGATATCTTAGAATGTGCACATCCACAAAATGGATGGAGAATACAAATGAATCCCCGTTCATTTCAATAAACTACTGCTCACTGGTTAAGAATGACATTTTCACTTAATTAATTGAGTAAAAGCCTCAACACTACACAGACAAAGTGCACACAGCTACACACAAAAAATCCCCACTGCAAGGGATTTTCTCTTTAGGCCGATTTTGAAACGCAAGTGATTAATACATTTGTTTACATTACACACACACACACACACACACACACACAGCATAACAAATTCCCTTTCATATTCTTGTTCGTACACTGCAATTCCAACTAAGGGAGCATAATTTTATGGCTGCCATCCAGCACAATACACCCAACATCCTTGAGGATCTTCTACCTCATGCAGTCTGACACAGTGACCCATTATCTGTGGTTGGAGCCTGAGGCCAGTGCACAATGTCAGGGAATAAGCTACTCCAACAGGCGACAGCAGACTGATCACATGCATGCATCTCAAGCAGCCACTTCGGCCAGCGCAAGATAACCACTGCTGCATAATGTGGAATCCTAATAACCCTGCAAACTGGGGAGGATTGCAAGGGGGATATGGGCGGATTTTGTTCCTGCAACTGATGGTTAATTACAAAAGTGGAAGGCTGCAAGTGTTAAAAACACAGGAGTCGAAGATATCAGCCATCTGTGTGTAGTATATATATCATAAGCTAAAGCATCTATAGGCTACTAGCTTATGTGGAAGGGAGGACCACAGTTTATGTGCAGGTGCACAGAGCATCGAGCCAACGCGGAGGTAAAATGGGATCTTATGCCATCCACAAGCAGGAAATTCAGTAGTGCATAACCAGTAAATACGAACATACTTTCATTCAGCATTGCAGAATGAATTGACCATATAACTGTCACAGCAGTAACCCGTTTACAAATACAGAGATTCACCCTGATTCTGTGCCGCGGCGTTTATTTACAGGACTGAAGTTACAATGAAGGCAAAAGGATGCCAAATCCCGTCGCGATATTTCAACATTTTAATGCAGCGCTAATATAACACACAGGCCCCGGCAATTAAAGCGGTGTCTCTGGGGGTCTGCTACACTGCTGTTCGTCCTCCGCAGTGGCCGTACAATCTGCCGTCAAAGATAATGAGGGCGACAGAGCGAGTCAAACATTAAATCAGAAGAGGCGGGGATGTGTTGGGAGGCGAATACAGGCAGAAATCGTACTCACTTTGTAGAAAATCATCTTTAAAGTGCCGTAGAACCCCATCCTTGTAACCCGGTGTGTTTTCCTTTCCTTTCAGTGACAATCGGTGAAGTCCAAATGTGCGTGCGTGGTGGGGAGATGGCTCTGACAGTGCGAGGGCAGCGTAATACTCTCAGGTAAATCCGACGCCGTCTCTGATGTGAACATGCTCGGGCGCGTCACCGGACTGACGTGCACGCAGTAGATTCCCCCGGTAAAGGCATTTAAAAGACAAACAAAACGGGGAAACAGCTCCGCCGTGTCAAGCCGGCTTAAACGGGGGCTCGGTCGATGGGTGAACAATGCGGTGCGACGATCCCGGAGGCGTGTGCGCCGCCGACCAGCCTCACTGAGCAGGGAGTGAACAGATGAGGGAGGAAGAGGGTGACACTCGGCAGAAAGGGGAGGAGTGGAAGGGAGCGAGCGTCAGAGCTCAGAGCCAGTGCCCTCTTCCTCTTCACAGGCTTGAACAGCTCCTCCGAACAGGATCGGATTACTGCCTCCCCGGTGGAGGTGGCAGGAATGGTGCAGTCCAACATGCAACACTGTGCGCGGCGCATCTTCTGCGAGCAGAGCAGCGGAGACATCTGCGCAGCAGACACAGGGTGGGGTACGCGCTTGACCTTTAGTATTAAACAACGTGGACCCCCACTTGTTGCAGGACCACAAACACCTCATCCATACACCCCGCCCATGGCCACTTTCTCTCTCTGTATTTTTACATAGG